GGTGATACATGAAAAATATTATATACAAGGCAAAAAAAGTAACACTTAAGAGAAAGTCAAACATATTAAAGAATGGAAAATTGGAAACCATGATAACTTGCATAAGTTGCATAAGAATCTTCACACCCTTAGTCCACTAACTAATTTGCATATTGACTCGAAAATCAAGGAGAATATTAGAATCTAGTGAGGCTTCTTAAATGTATGGTTCTCGGTTGTGGTCCACTATGGACTAGGTTATGTTGTCAATCTGGCCAAACTACTCACAAATGAGATTTTTTTTTGGAATAACTAGGTATTAAAAAAAATTCGCAAATAACCATATTTCAGACAAAATTACGCAAATAACCATGTTTCAGAAAACCCCACAAGGGAGGAGCCAACCCAGTTGGCGCCTACACATTATTTTAAAGGGGAGGCGCCATCTCACTTGGCACCTAGGTGTGAAAGGCTACCCCTAAGCCAAGTGAGATGGCGCCTTAGTGCAACTGGGAGGCGATTTTTCACGTTTTTTATTTTAAATGCGGTACGTTACGTATTCAATATAGGATCAAAAAAATTGACATTTTATTTACAAAATATGATTACACACATAACGATTACATAAAAAAATACAGATTAATCAGTGGTCCCCCGGAACCCGGTAATGACCCCCGATTCTGCATCCCCGTCCTCGCCTTTCGCGTGCTGGGTTTTGTCGCGTTTCCTGTTGTGGCAGGGTCGATGGCCCAGCGAAGTCAATGCGATTCGGATCCATGAAATCGGTCAGATCTCCATATCGATAAGATCCGCTTTGGTATAGTCGGTTGCCCATACCCTCAAAGTTTGGTCGTGTTGGTGGTGGGTGGGGTTCCATGGTTGGTCTGTAGCACTGGTCGTCTGAGTACGGGGGGTAGAAAGGAAATGTATCTTAGGGTGTTTGGTATTGAGGCTGTTGGGTGCTTTGGTGATGTTGTGGTTGATGGTAAGTTGGGTCGGTTGGTTCATAATCTTCGGAAATTCCAAGATCAGGGATAAGGTTGGATGTTGAGGGGCCCATATTGGGATATGCAGAAGACTGAAATTGTGTGTGGGGTATGCGGGTGTATTGGTATTGTGATTGAAATTGTGGTTGGGTGTGAGGCATATGGGGGCATTGGTACTGAGATGGTCATTGTGGTTGGTTGTGGGGCATGTGGGTGTAATTGTATTGTGGTGGTGACTGTGGTTGGATTTTTGTGGTTCTGTTTCACCGGGGTGGTGGTGGAAGGTTGATGTGTGTTAGGTTTGTTGTTGGGGAAATGAGGGTTGTGCCCATTGTGTTCGTGGGTCGACCAAATAACTTGGATGAGACACGTGCATTTCAGGGATACTAACCGACCTGTACCAAGATAAATATTGATTCGTGTGTCGCATATTACCATGGTTGAGGAAAACTTGGAATTGAAAGACATGTCGGTGACGCCTCTGCCACATCTTACACCATTCTGGAGCAAACTCTTTCCAGTTGGTAAGACCCCATTGGGCGTCGACCCTTTTGAGATGCCACAGATACAAATAAGTCGGATCACCAGGTATCTCTTGATGCATTCCAAACTGCATCTTGACACAGTCGTTGTGGTGCATCTCCATAACATTGAACCGTATGATTGCAGTCTTTGCGCTCCAAATTACTGCATCCTCGGGGTTTGGTTCATGGTCCAAACCCAAATATGGTCTGCAAACAAAGTGCTGATAAAATTAAATCAGGTTAATAAAAACGTAATAAATAAATAATTTAAAAGCAGAAAAGTTGAAAGGTATGACGTACATCATCTGGGCCAAGGTGATCCAATAGATTGTGGTATAGAGCGACATTTAATCTTGGATTCTTGCCGTAATTCATACCCCTCACGCAGTACCTAAAGGAATTGAAAAATATTTTATTTTTATCATATATTTGGTGAAGAGATGAATAGTAATAAATGATATAAGTTGATGACTTACTTTGTTGCGTATAGAAAAACGAATGTGTTGTTGTTGACGAGGTTTAAGGACTCCATCCTCCACCAACCCCAGGCTTGAAGTGAAAAAGCGCAGCCATAAAATGTACATTTTTCCTTGATTGCATTTTTACACAAGGAACTGTATAGATGGGCTAAAACAGCAGAACCCCAACTATACTTTCTAGTTTTTTCGAAGTCTTTAAGTAAATTTAAATACATAAAATTTACACTATTTCCCGTACTTTCGGGAAATAAAAAGGTTCCAAATGGTATCATTATATAATTTCTAGCTTTTATTACCTTAGCTAGCTCGGAGGAATTTTCGTTCAATTCCAGAGTCGCATAATGATTTTTTAGCTCAGTAAGTAGTATACCCTGACCTCTCGCACCACCACCTTCAACCATATCCCAGACCAACAATTATTCACACAAAGAATTGGGTTGTTGGACCGACCCGTTAACTACCTTGTCGTCAACAGGGAGACCCAATAACATGTACACGTCCTCTAGTGTGATGGTACATTCACCTATTGGTAGATGAAATGTATGGGTATCTAGTCTCCACATTTCCAACATTGCAAGTATGAACTTTGAATCAATCGTGCAATTGGAGATCTTTATAACATTTCCAACATAGCAAAGACCAAGGCGATTGAAAAGGTATATGGAAACTGGGAGGAGTCATACCAAGAACTTCCTCGCTACCTGAATGCACTCCAGACGTATTCTCCAGGTACTGTTTACATTCTAGAAATAGTGCCAACGTACGCCCCGGATGGTAGTCAACTCAACGGAAATAGAATATTCAGTCGAGTGTTTTGGGCTTTTCAACCTTGAATCACAAGGTTTGAGTCATGCAAACCAATTATACAAATTGATGGGACTTGGTTGTATGGGAAATATAAAGGCACGCTACTAATGGCAGTTGCACAAGATGGCAACAACAACATTTTCCCAATTGCCTTTGCCCTAGGCGAGGGGGAGACTGGTGGTGCTTGGAGATTTTTCTCAAGAATCTCCAAACACACGTGGCTCCTCAACCAGATCTCTGTTTGATCTCTGATAGACTTGTATCCATTAAAAGTGCATGCAACAATCCTGCAAATGGTTGGCATGACCCTCCCTCCACGCATGTCTATTGCATTAGACATATCGTCCAAAATTTCACAAGGGAGATCAAAGACAAATCTCTTAGGAAAGCGGTTATGAATGCGTGATATGCATTGACACAACATACGTTCAAATATTATCACAACGAGATCCGTTTGTCAAATCCGGACGCCGGTAGGTGGATCGATAATATTTCGGTAGAAAAATGGACTAGGTCATACGACAATGGACAAAGATGGGGCCACATGACAACAAATCTAATTGAATCGATGAACGGGGTATTCAAAGGCCTATGAAACCTCCCAGTCACTAATTTGGTTAAAGCAACATATTTTAGGATGACTTCGTTGTTTGCCAAAAGAGGTGAAATATGGAATGCTGTGTTGCAATCTGGACAACTATGGAGCGAAAGTTGCATGAAGTACATTAAGGCAGAAAGTACCAAAGCCAACACCCATCTGGTTATACGGTTTGACCGACACAACCACAACTTCATTGTCAAAGAGATAATCGACCACAACGAGGGCCTGCCAAGACAAGAGTATAGGGTCATACTACCTCCTCATTGGTGCGACTGTGGCAAGTTTCAAGCCTTTCGTATGCCTTGCTCTCATGTCATTGCTGCGTGTGCCTATACTCATCAAGACGCGCTACAACTTCTGTCTCCCATTTACAAATCTGAAACCTTGCTCAACGTATACAACAACAACTTCCGTTTGGTAGCAAAACCTAATTATTGGCCTGCATACGACGGTGAAATAGTATGGCGCAATGACCAAATGCGAAGGAATAAAAAGGGTCGTCCCAAAAGTAAGCGCATCACAATTGAAATGGACTCCATTGATAAGCTGGAAAGAAAGTGTGGTTTATGTCGTCAGGTCGGATACAATCGCAAAAATTGTCCGAATCGGGCTACTGGCTCAACCACATAAAAAATTTATTACAAAAAATCTTTCTTTTATTAAGTTGTAAACATTAGGGTTTTTCGTTAACAGTATTTGTTACAATAAACATTGCACGAACAAGAAATAAAACACAATAAACCGTCTACGAAATTACAACCGTTAAAACAATTTCATCTGACCCATGCATCATCAACATTACGCCGCTGTCTGTTTTGACTTCCTCCAACCAAAAATTAGGTCTTCCTATCACAAGTGAGGTTTCTATTCGTCTTCGCTGGATCCTTCTAATTTGTTCCCCCTCCTCGATGTCTCCCTCTAGCCATCGCATCAACTCCCTCTTCAGACGCTTCAGGGAGTGAATGTGCCAAAATTTCATTTTCATCGGAGGTTTTGTGGCGGAGAAAATAACGTAACCATCTCTGATGAAAATCATGGGCGATGTCATGACGCAAATAACAGAGTAAAACATAAGAGAACAATGCGAGAAAGTGTGAGGAATGACGGAGAAACAGACAAATTATTTATAAAAAAATGCATTTTGCCCTAGGAGTCAAGTGAGATGGCGCCTCCTCTCACTTTGCATGCGCCATCTCACTTGGCTAAAAGAGAGAGGAGGCGCCAAGTGGGATGGCACCTAGGACAAATTGGGGAGTGGATGCGCCAACTGGGTTGGCTCCTCCCTTATGGGATTTTCTGAAACATGATTATTTGCGTAATTTTCTCTGAAACATGGTTATTTGTGAAATTTTTTTTTAATACCTGATTATTAAAAAAAATTCCATAAATGAAAATACACTGGTGCCGAACTAAAAAACATGAATTTAAAATTTAATCATATTAATATTTAATAAGAAATTACTATAAAGTGATAGTGGTCAATATAACTAAAATAAAAAAACAATCATTTAGAAAAGGAAAGGTAAAAGTTGGAATGAACTGGAATTTAATTGCATAAAAGGTACAAAAATGCTAGACATATAGAATTTTATATATCATATGTCCTAATCACTATCACACCTCATCATTCAAATATAAGTTTACAGTTTCTTGGATACGGAGATAATTTATGTAAAACCATAAACTTAGCTTTTAAAAGAATGGAACATGAACTGTGGATTGTCATGGTCCGTAATACTTTTGAATTCCGCATTACAAATTCTGCAAATTGAAGGTCAGACTTTTGGCCTCTACAATTTCTAATTAAACAAGTTTTGAGCTGAGATGAAAGACATTCCGGAACAACAGTTGGGTCCTGCCAATTGTCTTCACCGTCACCATATTCCATTTTCTGTAAACCATTAATTTAATTTCCACCAAAAACAAAAACAAAAAATGAAGTTAAGATGGGTATAGCTAGGTAGAGTAAAATGAATCATGAAATCAAAATATTTATAAAACCTCATTAATGATAAGATGTTGAAGCTTGGGACTCTGGTGAAGCATTTCTAGCATCCACCTCCACTTCTTCTTACTATCATATTTGAAGACCAGCTCAATTTGAGTTAGATTGTGAAAAGTAGGGAATCGAAACCATGTATGCTCAATTCGCATCAAATAAGTCGATGTCTACATGAATAGGACAAAATATTAGAAACCAATCCTATCCAATTGATTTTTACTCTAGTGTTGTTTGTTCCATACAGTCACGTTATCAAAATTATTCTCATACATTAAAATTTAAAGCCAAAAAAATATTAAAAATCGTACCAGGTTTATAGTTAGAGTGACTGCTTTAGAGAGCAGGAAGAGTGAAATAGCTTCGCTATCAGAAACACTAGCTCTAATCAAATTTGGCGAGCATTTGATCGTTTCTTTTTGTTGAAAAAACTTCCTTACTCCAACAACGTTTGCTTGCAATTCCTCTAGAGTGGGAAAGGATAAGAGAAAGTTGATGATATGTGTATGACATCGGAACGTCACGTGATCCAAATGCAGAGTTTTGAGTGGTGAAGTATTTATTCGAGGAAGGTCTTCAATCACAATTTTGAGGTGTCTTAACTTGAGGACAGTAAGTGTTTTACAACTGAATATGCCAGAAGCAAATTGCACGCATAAAGGAGCCAATTGCATGTCAAGTTCTAAGGTTTCAAGTCCTCTTTCAAATGCTGCCGTAATAAGGGGGTTAATATGGTCGCGGCAGTATTGACTAATGAGTACGTCAACATCATATCTTAATCTCTTAACTCTGGCATTATATTTGAGACGGAGTTTTTGTATTGGTACCTTGATGTCACGCAATAAAATCACACTGTCAAAGGTTTTTATGTCTGACAACTTATTGGCCACTAAATCAATAGTGAAGACTGAAAGCCATAAAGAATTCCATCTCTTTGAAAGGATGCTTGTGGCGGCGGAGTCTTTGGTGGTAAGGAAAGAGAGAATGTGACACAGAATTGAGTCTGGAAGGGCGCTAAGCCTGTCTTCTATTGGAATCAATGGTTTAGGTTTCCATATCAGGGTGGCTAGACACCAAAGGAAACTCATAATACTAGTTAGGGTTTAATGATTGGCAATACGAACAAACTGAAGCAGTTGAAATAGTAGGATTCAAAGGCACTAGGGTTTTATATAAGGAGGAGAACCCTAATTTGTTCTTTTTACCTAGAGAATATATAAAACAGAAACTCAGAGTATTAACATATTGTGGTAAATTTGTCCCCCTAAAAAAATCATATTATTGCCACGTGTAATAAAACCCATCTTAATTCTCCACTAATATTGTTTTTTTTATACAAACTGAAAATAATGAACTACTTTAATACTAATTTATATAAGTGTTATTACCTATTTTCACCCCTGACATATGGGGTGTATTTGAAAAACCCTCTGCCAAAAAAAAAAAGTTTCAATGGTTACCTGACAAATTTTAAAAGTTTCAGTTTTTACCTTGAGGACCTAAAAGGCTGATGTGGCTTATATTTTTGTTATATTTTTATTATTATTTTAATGATATGACTTGATTAGTTGTCATTTTTAATTAATTTTTAATTTTTAATTCCATATGACATTTATATTAATATTTTATTAATTGAGTGTTAATTCAAAGTTAAAAAATACTTCTTACCACTGGACCAATGCATTTTCTTTGTTACATATATGCATCAATAAATATTCATATCATTAACATATTTATTACAATTATCAATAAATTTTTTTAACTAGTTGGTTTTAATAATTTTTAAAAAAATGTTTTACATATTTTATCTTTTTACTGTAAATTTTTTTAAATTTTAAATTTTCAAAAATCACTTAAATTTAAAAAAATCACTTAAATTTTCAAAAATTACTTAAATTTAAAAAAATCACTTAAATTTAAATAAATCACTTAAATTTTCAAAAATCACTTAAATTTAAAAAAATCACTTAAATTTTAAAAAATCACTTAAATTTAAATCACTTAAATTTAAAATCACTTAAATTTTCAAAAATCACTTAAATTTTCAAAAATCACTTAAATTTAAAAAAATCACTTAAATTTAAAAAAATAAGTTAAATTTAAAAAAATCACTTAAATTTTTAAAAATCACTTAAATTTTTAAAAATCACTTAAATTTAAAAAAATCACTTAAATTTTCAAAAATCACTTAAATTTTCAAAAATCACTTAAATTTAAAAAAATCACTTAAATTTAAAAAAATCACTTAAATTTAAATCACTTAAATTTAAAATCACTTAAATTTTCAAAAATCACTTAAATTTTCAAAAATCACTTAAATTTAAAAAAATCACTTAAATTTAAAAAAATAAGTTAAATTCAAAAAAATTACTTAAATTTTCAAAAATCACTTAAATTTAAAAAAATCACTTAAATTTTCAAAAATCACTTAAATTTAAATCACTTAAATTTAAAATCACTTAAATTTTCAAAAATCACTTAAGTGATTTTTGAAAATCACTTAGTTTTGAAAATCACTTAGTTTTGAAAATCACTTAGTTTTGAAAATTTAAGTGATTTTTGAAAATTTAAGTGATTTTTTTAAATTTAAGTGATTTTTGAAAATTTAAGTGATTTTTTTAAATTTAACTTATTTTTTTAAATTTAAGTGATTTTTGAAAATTTAAGTGATTTTTGAAAATTTAAGTGATTTTAAAATTAAGTGATTTAAATTTAAGTGATTTTTGAAAATTTAAGTGATTTTTTTAAATTTAAGTGATTTTTGAAAATTTAAGTGATTTTTTTATATTTAATTTATTTTTTAAAATTTAAGTGATTTTTTTAAATTTAAGTGATTTTTTAAAATTTAAGTGATTTTTGAAAATTTAAAATTTTAAAAAAGTTACAGTAAAAAGATAAAATATGTAAAACATTTTTTTAAAAATTATTTAAACCAACTAGTTAAGAAAATTTATTGATAATTGTAATTAATATGTTAATGATATGAATATTTATTGATGCATATATGTAATAAAGAAAATGTATTGGTAAGAAACGTTCACTGCAAACTGTATGTCCATGGTTCATTAAAATAATAATAAAAATATAACAAAAATATAAGCCACATCAGCCTTTTAGGTGATGTAAGGTAAAAACTGAAACTTTTAAAATTTGTCAAGTAACAATTGAAACTTTTTTTTTTGCAGAGGTTTTTTCAAATACACCTCATATGTCAGGGGTGAAAATATGTATTAACCCTTTATATAAATTGAAAATATTTTTTTTTAATATTTATTATGATTTTCAATAAGTGTTATGGACATGCACTCCATATTATCGACATCATATGTAAATTTAGAAGATTTACATCGAATCTCAACGATTAATAAGAATAAATTAAACAATTTTATAAATAGTCTATTTTTTAGAAAAAAACAAATGGTAATATTTAACTAAAGTAATATTTTAATAGGATAAAACTTAGGTATAATTTTTTATGTGTAATTCTTACAATTTTTCAATAAAAATATAATAAATATACTTAAATATTATTTAAGGAGTGAAAATATGAACAATTTATATAAATATAAGAGGAAAATACACACTTGACATATTTTCATTAGAAAATAGTAAGAATTATACCTAAAGAATTGAACCTAAATTTTATCTATTTTAATATTCCTAATAATATAAAATAAGAAGAATTAATTAATAAATATAAATAAATTAGTAAAATTTTATTATTGCTTATAATTAAAATAGCATAAATTAATTAATTTTGTGTTGCCAATTTATAAATATATATTTTCTTTGTTTGGATTTTAAACTAAGAGTCACCAGTATAGTTTTTGTTTTTCTATTATAAATATAAATACGCTGTGATTACTAATAATTAAATGTTTCTTAAATATAATTATTTAATTATTAAGTATGTAATTTGATTAGTATAAAAAATGTATCGTTAAACAAGAATAAAGTATAAAACGAAATCTTTATTATTAAGAAATCTACGATGTTAAAGAAAAATGAGAATCAAGAAGAACATTACGGTGATATCTCTAGACTTAGGTGTTATTATTTATTTATTTATTTATTTATTTATTAATTGTTAGGATATAATAATGGTTGATGAGCTCACTTTGGTGATACGATCAATCTTTTATAGGTTCGAACATCAACGTCTTAAAATATTTTATTTATTTAACGTTAAGACGTGTCTTTTCTTTTTTATTTATTTTTAAATAAAAAATAAAAATATATCACTATGGCTATTTTGTTCTAGCGATATAACACACACATCCTCCGTCCCAAAATATAAAGAAAATAATAAAAATCACACTTAATAAGAAAAATAAAAATATAATGATTTGACTATTGATATTTTGAAATAAAATGCTCAAAAAGATGTAAAAACAATTCTAGTTAGTTGTTGGTTATAGAAATGAACAACAAGAAAGTAAAATAAATGCAATTTATATTTAATTTTACCTTGAAAAAGATGAAAAATAAAATTTTCTGGGACCAGAAAAATACATTTTTTTCTCTCTTATACATGATTGTACCTGTTGACCAGAACTTGAGAGTGAGCCGAGATGACAATGTCTACTTGGCTGGAAATTTATGGAGAGGAGGGGATGTACCTGTAAGGCACTTCGACAATCTAGTGAGAAAGAGTGCAAAGAGATACAAAGAAAAAATTAGGGTTTTATTACTGAATAATGGATACCTGACCCTCACAAGTGTGAGGATTTATATAGTGCCCCCGGCGCATAGCCATTGGTTCCTATTTTTGAGCCTGAATATTAGGTTTCGCGAAAATAGGTAATTGCAAGGACCTGGTCAAAACGGGCAGTCGTGCTCATAACTAGGTGTTGGCGGGCAATAGTGAGATGACGGGAATATGTGTTGTGAGTGTTGGTCTTGTAGTCTGCTCGATGCGTAGCGAGCTGATCTTGGGATGTCCATTGGTCTCACTGTTCTAAAAGTTAGTCGACCAGACGTGCCCGTCCAAAGGTAGTAATTAGTGGGCCAACGCTTGTTGGGTCATTATGGAGGCAGGAGTAAATTGGGCCAATCCTTGTCATTGGATCAGTCAAGAACAGAAGCCCCCAAGTCGTTTCTTCTGGGTAGAGGAGCGATGACTTTAAGTATGCTCGTGAAATGGGGGTGTTATTTGGTTGATTTTGCATGAGGAGTATAGGTGATGCTCGGTGTGTTCGCCTCACATGAAGAGGAAAAGTTTAGTGGCTCGAAGAATTTATTCTATTGTGTATGCATCGATCCACGTGCTATCATAAAGGCGTAATGATGGCTAGCCTAAGAACTAGGGCGTGATGATGGCGTCTTTCAGAGTTCCCTAGGCGTGTGCCCACTCACGGGCCACAAACTACTCTATAAAAGGCGGAGAGGGAGCTTCATGTGCACTTTTCGATTGCTCTCCTTTTTCCCGTTGTTGTCGAGTTTAGCTCGACGTTGCATTTCTTCGAGGTTTCCATTTGTTCTGCTGTTCGCCGCTGAGACCTTCATTTATTCCGCCGATAATCATTGATAATCTGGTAATTTTCTCGTTTTCCCCCTTTTTCTGTAGAATTTACTTCTGTTATAGGTTAGAATTTCTGCTTCTTTTCCTAGAAATGCACGTGGCTAGGGTTTTAGAGTAGCTTAGCGTAAGAATCCCAGGAGGAATGTTGGTTGTGGAGAGTGGTTTCGTTGCCTGAGGGTGGTGGCCCCACCGTGGGTCTGTTAGAGACGTTTCGGAATTAGGAATGGCGACGTCGATTCGTGATGAATTTCCTGGTAGTGTGGGGATCATTTCTGGGTTTGTGCTATGATCTTTGTCATAAATAATGAATCCCTAGGAGCGACTCAATCTGGAAGTGTTAGGGAGATGGCTGCTCACGAGGTTTGTGAACCCACCTTGGGGCTGATGTGTCATACGAAATAGGTTTTCCTTTGTTGTTGAGTGATGGCTCTATTTAAGGACAGGGTCCTCGTTCCTTTGTACCTTCTCACTTGATTAGTGGTGGAAGGATGAATTTGATTACGATGTCGAATTCACTTTTGTCCTCTACTTTTCAGGTATAGTGGCCAGCAGTACTGACGATGAGTT